CCACTGCAAAAGTTTGCTTGCAGACACGGCCCCTTTAAGAGGCATCTGCAGCTGTCGGCTACAACTGCCTCAGCCTCTGTCCCACTCAGGCAGTTGAGAGCAGAAAGCCTCACATCTTCACTTCCTCTCATTGCAGGGTGATTTCTTATTTCTCTTCCTAGTTGTAGTGCTTTTGTTCATCTAGATCCCATGCGACTTTGCTTGCTATTTGTTCCGTGTTTCTGTCGCAACTTTGATTTGGTTAAAGAGGGATGAACAAAGCCTCTATTGTTTAGGCCACTTTTTCTGCCTCCTGTCCATGTCTTTTTTAGAGTGTCTCTTTGGAACAAGTATGCAAGAGTCCTTTCTCTAAAATTTTGAATGTCAGTATAACTCTACAGGGCTAAACAAAACCATTGGCAGCTTGAGAATCCAGGGTTGTCTTCAACTATCTAGGCTCCATGCCTTTTAAAATGTGAACACCTGGAAAACTAGAGCTCTAGGTTCCATGACACCTTGGGAACTTAACCTGGGTTCTATCATGCAACCCTTTCTTCTCAGGAAGATGAAAGAAGTTTTGATTTTTCTTTCAGAGGAAGGCAACTAACCTTAGTTCCCAAGTGAGCATAGGGTGAATTCTATGAAGGAAGGTACAGAAAGTTCAGGATTTAAGACATTGTCCTGTCCTCTTATAGGAAAACAGGATATTATTGATACTAAAAAAAATTGTGCAATGTAAAAGATTCTCATCTGCTTCGATGTGTAAATAAAGTGAAATTTTATCCTGACTTTCTAGTCACTTTCTTTCTATCAAGATATACTCAGTATTAATTATTCAATAATAAAAAAGATTTCTTTTTTACATTGTAATGGAGAGGAATTTTATTGTTGATAAGACTTTTAATTCACTAATAATATAAAAAAATAAATTTCCTGCCTACATTCCAAACTCCTTTCCAGATGAACAAAGTTATTTTCTGTAGATACATTTGGACGTGTTTGCTGAGAATAATTCAATTCATGAAAGGAACAAAATTGTTCTATTTATGAAGGCATTTATATGCCTATAACAAGCAGATCAGAGTCTTGAATATTATGTAATCTGATATCAGCAGTATTTCTAATTCATTAATGTTATTGTATTTATTTTTTATTTTTTACTTTTATGTGTCTAGTGAATACTTTTAATGACTGTGAATTATTTTTAAATCCTAAAAAGCAAATACACAAAAGTAAAGTACATTCTCTTTCAAAAAACAAAAATCACTTATCAGGAAACATTTTCTGCTGGGTATTGGGTATTGGAATTTATTGTTCATTCATTTCTTAGACAAGCACCTAGTAATCAATATGATACATAAAGTCTGTCATATATTAATGTTCAACTGTGAACAGATGAGTTAATATGTTAAAGTAGGTCAAATAGAAAAGGAGGCTTGAAATAAGGAATTTAACTAGTCTGCTTGGTTTGGACAGAAAACAGGGGCAATTGATAAATTTGCAGGGCCCAGTAAAAGTGCTTTATGCTGGTAAGCAAATAAAGAGACAAAGCTCAGGAAAATAGCAGTTTGGAACTAGAGAAAATGATATTATCCAGAAAGGAGTCAACTTGAAAATATTTCAGCATGAACACTGCACTGTGTATGTTTACATGCCGACTCCAATTTACAGCTGTGGAATGGTTAATAAGCATGTAGTTTGACCAAATCTAGAATAACCCCTTTACATTTGGTGATTTAGTACAGGACACATTCTTTTCTGAATTAACAACAGAGTTTATTAATTGGCATGAGAGTCAGTAAAAATAATGAAGTCACTGGGGCTTAAAATATGTGATCGTTAGGAGAATCAATCAGGTCCTGATACCCTGGTATGAAAAAGACACAAGTATGGCAGGCCAAGTAGCTCCTGCCAGCTGTGCATGTTCCAGGGCTTGTACCTGTTTCCTTGCTTCTCCACACACCAGGGAGGACCCAGCTTCTGATATAGTAAGTTCAAGGCCAGAGAATCTACAGACGCTCCTACATCCACCATGGAGTGAGCCCTTTGTTTTCAGAGAAGGATTTCCCAGGCTGCAGAGGTTGTTTAAATGGTCTTGCTCAATGTATGCATAACTGGCAGAATTAACCTGCATCTGAATAGTCCAAAAAAGACTAGCTGACACGGTCTTGTCAGTCTTCCAGCTTTGTTAAGCTTTTTCCTGTCCTGTGAGAGAAAATCTCCTCTATTTTTCTTTGCATTTCTAACAAGTTCTTGCATCTCATCCCCTCTAAAAATGAAGAAGTTCTATAATAAATAGATGCTGTGAGGATTATACAATACCAGTAACAAGTGAGAGACAACAACATTCGTGAGTACTCATGAGGCAGGATATAGACAAATCTGAGGAACTAGCGAAAGGAATGTAGAGATGTCTGAAGCGGCTCCCTTCTTACTCTACCAAAATATGTGAAAGACTGGTCGTGAAACTGCCTTCCCCCAAAATTGTTAGAAGGCATCCTTGTATAGACCTTTGATTCTTTCAATAATTTAACAATTATTTATTAATTTTCAAGAATGGCAGAGGTCTTTTTACCGGAGCCTAATCTTAAGATTTGTGTAAATTTAGTCCAAGAGGTGACAATTTCTAACTAAAAAAGTGAGTGAAGACTTTTTCACTTTGCTTTTATCGCCCTTCACCTCACTCCTGATATCTTCCTTTCTCTAAACAGTGATCATTTCACTTCACCATTCTCGTGTTAACTGTTTCTAATTTGTATTGCTGGTCATGTGTGTTGGGAGATTTGATGGGGAAGCAGAATTCTATACAAATTTGCAGTATTTGGAGCATTCATCTGGTGATACCAGTGGGTCTGGGGACAGGTTCAGCTACAGGACTTCTCATTCCAGTGGGTTTGGATGGGGAAAATCGAAGACAACTGGGCATTAACTCACAGACACTAGAGCTGTGCCTGTAGATTTTATCCCTCTGTCACCTGTGGGTATCATGTTCCATGAAATCCTCATATCAAAAACATAGTTTTATTTCAAATGAAGCCCCTCGAATGCATGGAACGATGATGCTCTAAATGAGAGGTTTACAAGATACCACTTTTTCTTTACAATTTTAAATGTCTTAATTGCACAGTGAGACAAAGGTAGTAGCTTCATTGCTGGGTAATGGTCATGGGAGAGAAGCTTGAGTAGGCCAGAGCACAGGAAGTGGCCAGTCCCTCAGAGAGAAGAGGGCAGCAGGTTCAAACAGGTGTTCATGTCCATTTTGCATCTGCAAATCCCTGATGCACTGGTTCCTAAACCTAGAGAGTTAATATAGTAAGGAAATGGTAACTGGGGCAGCTCGTGCACATGTTCACCCCTATTTTTTGAACACCCGGTGTTTACAGGGAGGGCTTTGTGCTGGTAGCCAAATATACGATGATGAGTATCATCAAATGCATGAGACCATGAAGCAGTAAAGGAGACAGCTATAATCAGGTCATTTTTATTTCACAATTATGTAAAAGTGCTATGGTAGCATAGATGTCATAGCATAATGATAGCGCAAGGAGAAAACTACATCTAATCTCAGGAGATCAGGAAATAGCAGAGGGTAAGGAGGAACAGAGGCTTGCAAATAAAGGGTATAAAGTGAGGAGCCGGGGTATTTAAGGGAGTCTGTGTCCTGTGTGCAAACACCCAGAGTCAAGAAAATACATATGACTCGTGAAATTACAAAAAACTCTTTTTAGCCAGAAAAGTCTAAAGCTTTGTACTGCTGAAAAGAATTCCTAAAATGTTGAGCTGACTTTGAAAATAATTTTCCTTCTAAATCACCATTTTTATAAAAGTGGGGTGGGAATTTGAAGACCACTCCAGTTGACATCTCAGTAGACTTTATATCTGAAGATAAATTAAAGTCTAGAATTTCAAGGCCACGTTGAGAGGCTCAACAGACAAAAAAATTAAGATGCACATCTTGTAATTTCCATTTTCTGCTGTAGTAAGTAGACTCTTTCTGTTGAACTGACTTGTGGTATTTCTAGTAGTATTAAATACTTTGATCTTGTCATGGAAACTTGCCCTTTCATGTGTTATTATTCAATTTTAATCTTGATAATTGTTATTTATTCACGCTTGAATAACTAATAACCCATACAAGATGTAAAAGGCACAGAAGAATATACAATATAAGGTTAGTTATCCTCATGTCTCATCTCAACTATGAGCATTCATTCCTGTTGTGTCCATGGATACTAGTTTATTTTATATTTTTCCAGATAGATGATCATATATGCACATATTCATTATTTTTAAATTTGGTGGTACAACTCTATACATGTTCTGCATCTTTTTTTTACTTATGATAAATCTTGTAGGTTTCTTCACGTTAATACAAATAGAGCTTCTCCTTTCATTTTAGTGACTGTAGAGTATTCCTTTGTAAGTATATCTTGGGATGTCTGTATCAGTATCTGACAGAGGGAATTTAAAGTTGGTCCCAGTCTTTTGGACTTACAACAATCCTGCAACAAATATACCACTACATGTGTCATTTTCAGCTTGGGTAAATAAATCTATAAGATTTATTCCTGAATGTAGACTTGCTAGATTAGTATTTGCATTTAGAATTTTTGACATGGATTTGCCTAAAATTGCATTCTCACTAGCAAATAGGAGAGACTGCCAATTTCTCCAAACTCTTGCCAACATAGTGTTCTATCAATACTGTTCTTTTGGAACATCTGCGAGGTGACACAGGTACTTCTTGGTTTTACTTTGCACATCTTTTATAATCGGTGAAGTTAAACATGTTTATGTTCTTCTTATATTTAGGCCCATTTAAAAAATATGATTGTGGTTCTTTCCTCACTGATTTAATAGGACTCATCATAGCTTAAAGAAATAATTTCCACAACTCTAATATAGATTGCCAATGTTTTCTTTATTTTCTCATTTGCCATTTTACTTTGCTTAAGATATTTTTATGAATAAATTATTATCTTCTAAATTGTTTCCATTTCTTTAAATTAAGGGTTTTAAATTAAATTTTGATTTAATTTTAAATCAAAATTAAGGGTTTTTTTTTTAAAACTTTGGATATCATGCCCTGATATTCTTATAATCACTTTTTATTTTTTAAACTTTTCTTAGATGAACCCACCATGATACACATACTTCAAAAATAAGCCACAGTGATAGGCTATTAAAACATACGATACCCTTTAAACATGCTTTATAGAGGCAGAATTGTAGATACATCTCACGTCTCAGTGATTAGTTTAACACCTAAGAATATTCCAGTTAACAAATTTTCTGCCAAAGAAAGGAGTTTTGAAATATTCTCTGGTGAATAAATTTTCGACCTTTCATTATCTTCTTTGAGTTGATTTATCTCTTTATTCATCTCCTCATATTTCTTTTTAAACCCTTCAGTAAATAGTTCTTTCTGGATCTGTAAAAAAGAAAGAGTTCTCTTTTGAAAATCCCCAATTATCAGCACTTTGTATTTAACAAATGCAACAGCTAAGCACATGTTTTATTTCTCTACCAACTTACATGCACTTGGATGAGTCTATCTAATATTTCTAAACATTTTGACTTGGGTAGTGGGAGAATCCATGGTTTGTAACTTCCTATGATTGCTTAGCACCATCATATGGGGGATGGGGAGGAGCTGTGGCCTGACAGCTATCCCAGGAATGTGTTCCAGACCTAGGAATGCACTTTGGGGAGGATGGAGGTTTAATTCTAATTATTTCTCAGTTTTGCTGGGGAGGATGACCACAAATGTGTAACAAATAACAGGAACTGCTGACTCTTTAGAACACTGGCTAATCAAATCCAGGTTGGGACAAAGAATGCAAGGTACTCTGGGTGTATAGAATAAATCGGTCAGATCTGGAAACGACTGCAGCAAATGTTAGAATTTCAGCATCCCATACTTCACATCAGACACATCTGAAACTTTCAGACCTGATTGATCTATATCCAGTCTCTTTGATGGTTGTATCAAACAGCCAAAAAACAATAGGACTGAAGTCCTATTCCTTTGGGGGTCACGGTGAGACCCTATAATCACCACAAACTGCAGTTCAGGAGCCTGGGGCATGTTATTTGTACCCACTAAACTCTAATACTACAGAAGGTACGGAGTCTTATAGATTTAGGGCTTTTGAATGATCCAGAATTTTTGACATTTCCCTGAATCACAGGACTTTGGATTTCTCTCTGGATACATGACTTTAGTTAAAATTTTTGTGCTTCCCTTCCTGAGGAAACAAGGTACTGTCATTAATGCAATGCCCAGCCACACCCAGACTTTTACCTTCAGCTTGTGCTCTAGCATTCTTTCTGTCTCTTCCAGTAGGGTTTTCTCCGTTCTCTCCAACTTTATCTTCAGCTGGGCCATGTTTTCATTGTAGCTTTTCTGTTGAGCCTTCAATTTTTCCTCCTGTTCCTGTACTTTCTGTATTAGCAGTGCCAGTTCCTTCTCAGTTGCCACATTCTTGGCACGCTCAGCTGTTCTCCACATGTTTTACAGAGGGAAGAAAATGACAGTTAAGCCAAGCTGTGACCTTCTAAGCTAAAAGACTGAAATGACTTTAAAATGTCAGGGAGGAATCTCTGAATATTCCTACTAGCCACACCAGCAAAACATGTTTCAGAATGTGATGGAATGGCACTGAATGGCTGAATGAGCAACCAAACCCTCTCGTTATTTTCAGATTTAGCTAGGTTGTTTCACAAAAGGAGAAGAAGCTGCTTGGTTCAGGAAGGTTTTGCTCTTACCCCTGTCACAGGGCACTGCGGGAATTAAATCACCCTGACATGGGCTGAGTCCTGTTCCTTACCTAGTGTGGCCTTCTCTGCAGTAGTGAGAGCTTTGTCTGACTGCAGGATGGATTTCTCTATTGCAGCCTGTGACTGCAGGAAGCTCTGGAGGACCTCGTTCGCCTGAGGAAACAAGAAAGAGTACAGACTCTTGCTAGGAAAATTATTGCTCAATGGACCTACAAATTGGACGCTAAATTCTTCATCCTTCTAAGGATCCCACGACAGTTCTTTTCTTTCCATGGCCACAATCAAAAATCCAACCTCCTTAATTAGATATGAAAATCTTCAACAGTAACCTCTTTTCTAGGTCTCTTCTCCTAATGATGGTGCCTATCACCCACCTTGTGTTTACAGATAACCAGATTTATGTGCAGTTCTACAAACACCCATCCTGCAATGTTTGCAATATCCGCATATTCTTTTTCTTCTGACTGGATGCTTCTTTATCCTTTCTTTATTCAGATATCATTTATTGATACATCAACTTTTAGTTCCTTCCTCCTCAGCCAGGAAGATTTCCTTAACTTTCCTCTTAGATTTAAAAGGCTGCCAGGTACATGAAGCTGTCCTACCAGCTCTACCACTTGCTGGCTGTGTGTTCTTAGGTGTAACTTATTAATTTCTCAGTGTATCACATTTCTCAACTGTATAATGGGGAGGACCGCAGTACCTAATTCATGTTATGTGAAAATTAAATGGAGAATCCAAACACAGCACCTAAGAATACACTAGATTTGGGAAGTGAGCACTCAACGTATGTCAGCCATCATCATAATCACCAAAACCATCTGTGTTTACCTGTGTGATAACCATTATCCTTCTATAACCAACTGACTATATGTCCTTCTCAGGTAAGATCTTAAGCTTCTTGAAAACAATGTTGTTTCTTTAAATATGTATCTCCTGTACCTAGCACAAAAACTGTTACATTGTTTGCTTAATGAAAGGAATATTCTCTTTCATCTAGATTCCTGATAACAAATTTTATATTTGGGAAGATATATTTCTGGTTTATTTAAGATTATCTAACTAACTGTGGATATAAAAGTTGAAAAATGGAGAGATATTGTCATGCTCTGCTTTCTCTGCACAAACAGTGCTCTGGTTTTAGATTTTCAAAAGAACCCTCTGACCCCAATCTGCTGTTCTTTGTCCCTCTGTTTGTTTCTCACCTTAACTCCTTTCCTGGGCACCAGCTGATAGGACCGTTCAACTGTGTTCCTTGCTTCTAAGTAGAGATTGTGTCCTCCAGGCACAGAGAAAATTCCTCTGGAAATGCTTTCCATCAGAGTCTCTGAAAGCTGCTTAAGCTGAGCCTGGCAATACTTGGCAGATGCCTCTTCATTCTGAAGCAAGAATTCTCCTTTTTTGCCCTCTATTGTTTCCTGCCAGAGAAATATGGAGAAATTCAAAGGAAAGAAGGATTTAGAAAGGAAAGTCCAGCAACTTTCAAATATGCAATCCATTATTATCTGTGGTTCTTTTACCAGTAGTAGGGTTAACAGTGATCCATCTATTGACAATGAACAGTGGAAAATTCAATATGACTAGAAGTAGACTTTCTTTTGCAAACTTGGTTTTCTATGGATAAAAATATATTTCCTGTACTTATAAATTTCAATTCATTTGGTTTTCTTCTATAAAAACTGAGAAATTTTGTATCCTATAGGATGGTCAAAACCAGACTCAAAGACAAATTTTAGTGAAGGTCCGATAGTAGGCAGAATTATGATTTCCTCTAAGAGTTCTCTCCCTTGATGTCCACACCCTACAGAGTGCCTGGGCCTGTGAATATGACCAATAGTAATACTGTGATTAGATTATATATATGGTACAAGCTGATTTTAAGAAATGGAGAGTACCAGGTGGACATGATCTAACTATATGAGTCCTTTAAAAGCAGTTTTCTCCAGTTGGTGGCACAGAAGATAGTCAGAGAGACTAGAAACAACATAAAAATATAATGTACCATTGCTGGCTTAAAGATGGAGGGGAAATTCCATGGAGCCGCCAGATGTTAATATTAGCACATTTGATCCATGTCTTCAACTGTGGTATACTGAGCGTAGCACCCATACATCTTATGCTAGGATGTGACCTGAAGAACTCTGAGCTAATAAATGTGTATTTGTTTCAAGATGTTAAGCACATGGTTATTCGTTTTCTCATGACAGAAAATAAAGAACTGATCTTTCAGAAAAAGGAACAATTATAGCCAATAGAGTCCTGTCACTCACAAGAATCTAAACTCCTTCTACAATGAGAAACACATGAACTATGAGGTCAAAGAGAACAATGAGGTCTTAAAAAGACAAGAAAGAGACAGAGTATATGCTAAGACATATTACCACAAGCTTCTTCTGGAACTCCAACTTGTCATCTTTGAAAGAGTTCTCCATGAACACTGCAATGGCTTCCTTATCACATGCTGCATGCAGGTCCAGTAGTTCCTGGAGTGTGTCTGTGGGGAACTTCACTCGCTGGGCCATCTGCTCACTGTATGCTCACTGTAGTAGTTGGCTGCCGCGTGTAGTGCCACTAAATTCTCACGCTCAGCCAGATTTATCACTGCATTTTCCAAACAAGGAATTGCTCCACTGTTGATAGAATTTACATAGGTCTCTGCCAGAGTGGCCAGCCCTGAAAGACATACGATATTTAGGGAATAGACAGGAATTTCCCATTCACTGTTTTAGAGATTTTGAGATCAGCATTCTAAAAACCACAACAATTTTATTGAAATGAAGTTTTGTTTTTTCTCTTTTTCTTTTCCTCCAAATCTTCCTCCTTGGCCTTGGCTTGTTTCCTCCTCCTTGCTCCCCTACAAACTGACTTCCTTAGAGTAACATCACTGTATCTCCTATCCAGTCTCTCTTTTATGGTTCATGAATTCATCTCATCATAATATTAAATTAATAATCTCAATCAATATATTCACAGATTTCTGAGAACACTTTTCCCATTGAAATAAAATTAAAAAGAGTGTATTTTACAGGTAATTAAAGTAGATAACTTGTGGGCATTACTTCCAAATGAAAATGTGGGGGCCCTTGTAAACATATCAAGAATTTCAGGACAGTGATATAAATATTAAACCAAGCATGGGCCCACTTCAGCACAGGGTACTTTGTGTCTGCCCACATTGCACGTTCATGAATCCAGCCTTGTACATATGATTATATATAAATTTGTTTCTCACACCCTAAGTGAGCTTTCAGGCACTATTTATTTTCTATCTGGTGAAAATTTACAAAGTACCTCATGAATCCTCACCAAGAAACACTTATCCTATTGAACGTTTCATCCACATGCAGATGTGTATTCTTAACAGCAGTTTGTGTTTATGTCATAAGTGTACTAGTTTCATGAGATGTAGCAGGTTCAGTAATTCCTCATATAGGAAAAGTTTATTGAAGAAACATGCATATCTGTGTGTGGCATAAATATCCGCTTTTCCACATCACCTAAGGAAGACATTTACGGACAAATCCAGAGAGCAATCACAGCTTCATCATACACATTGAACCACAGAGAGACAGACTGTAACAAAGGAGACTCACTATTTCCAGTGACAATGAGTCCCTCTCGTAGGGTCTTGGTTTTTGCATGTGTGAAGATATAGGAACAGAAATTTTTGGATTGCACCTGGAAATTCTGTTCCAGTTGGTTTTCTGATGCTTCCTCAATATGGAGTAATAATTTTTTGTCATTTGTAGGCCAGTCAAAAACAAAGCACTTCCGTTTTGGAAAAAACTTCCTGATAGACTCTCTGGACAAGTTAGATTTCTGGGTTTGGTGATTCTCCCCTAAAGAAAAGAAAAAAAAGCAATCACTGATGAGATAGTAGTCAGGCAAGGAGATTGAAGACTTTCATTTCCAGAGATCTTTGTATTACAGTAACTGGGCTGCCTGTAAATCTTTTATTTAATTATGCAAATCGACCTAATGCCAACCTACTCAAAGCATAGGATTATTATTATTATTTTTTTTTGCCATAGCTAAGAGTGAAGGAAGTACTTCTGGGGAAAAAGGAGAGGCATCTAACCCAAGTGAAGAAATGTATGATTGTTTTCCTTAGCCCTTCCATGGTGTCCAGTGGCTTGACTATTTATTAGATGTTTTCTGAATGGCAGATGAATCAAAAAAATTGTCAGAAATACTCTTGATGTTACAGTCCTAATGTCAAAAATAAAATGTGGGCTCTGAAGTAAGAGTAAAATATTTCCTCTTAGAAATAAGGATAATTATGATATTGCTGGGGGAAATACTATGTGGAGCATTCTAAAAAGATAATACTTGCAATAGTAAAGAAAAACTTCTAAAGATCAGAGTAAAAAATATACACAATATAAATATGTTCAGAGATTTTTTTTTTTTTAGCAGATATCATGAAAAAGTAAGATTAACATAATGCAACTTGGAGACCTCACCTGTTCTATATATCAGATTATATTAGATGTGACAATTTCCACAGAGAGATTCTGGGCATATGTTAGCTATTCAATAAGTGATTCTTGAATGGATAAATAAATGATTAAATAAGCAAAAAAGCATATGCTTCTAGGTACCATCCATTATCTTTGCTAAATGTACTCTGTGTAATAAACTTATTACACTGACATGACAACATATTGTGTAGGTTATGTTCTGAGAAACAGGAAAAGAAGGATTTAACAGTCTTACTGGAAGGCTATGTCAATGATTCTTTGGAGGAATTTTTAGTGTATAAATGTCTTTTATGTGAAGGATGTAACTATGTAGCTTAGTATAACAGACTACATGAAATATATTTCAAAAATGAAGTCATTTGATATCTTTGTGATTCTATGTTTACTGTCTTCCACACTGATGGGCATTTTTCTCTAAACAGAAGTAGAGGAGCTCTGAAATTAACAAGTAACACAAGCATTTAACCCTTAGGAAGTTTTAGCATTAGCTGTAATCCTGAAAATTTTCTAAAATCATTTGGTCGAATATTGGATTCTAAATTTCCTCAGTGAGCTTCAACTCTGGTCACGGGAGTTATTCCAGTAAGAATAACAACAAAATCTATATCCATCTGTCATACACATATCACCACTAATGTGGGCCTCAATCTAATCCAAATAAAGGTT